TGTCACCCTAGCACTCCGGAACCTGAGGCAGGAGGATCGCAGAAGTTCAAACCCGGCCTGGGCTGCGTAGTGAGACCCTGTCTCGAAAAGGAAAACGAAACAAAGCAAAACAAAAACCCAAAAGATAACGAATTTGTGTCTTTTTGCTTTGTTTGGTTTGGTTGCAGCGCAGGGTTGGAGCCCGGGGTCTCATGCGTGTTAGGCAACTTCTTCTCTGCCGGGGGAGATCTGCACATAGCCCTGGGCTCCCGTTCACCCTCTGGGTCGCGCTCTGTGGAGCGCAGGAGTTTTCCACTCTGAAGAAGCCGGGTTTGCCTGCTTCTCCTTTGTCGCTTGGGCCGTGGCTTCTATGAAACCACTGCCTACGTCAAGGACGTGGGGACAGAAGTCTGCGTACCCCAAAGAGCTGCGCAGGCTGAGCTCACATCCGGGCATCCATCTGTGGGCGGGGCTGGGAGGAACCCGGGGCCTTAAACACGCGGCGGGGGCTCAGAGCCACAGCTCAGCCGGGCGCTTCAGTGCATTTTCATTTTTAGATGCATCAGATTACTGTTCTCTGTCTTAGCACGGTCCCCAGACGTGCCGATCACGGCCATCGAGACAGTCCTCATCTTCATGCTTTTTCTGTCCCCTGCCCTTCCCTCCCTCCTTACTCCTTCCGGCTCTGTCTCTTCCTGATTGCACAAGCTGTTTCCGCTTTTCCCTCCAATTCCTTTTTTCTCTCCCCTTCCTCCCCCTTCTCTCCATCTCTTGATCCCCTGACCACTTGAAAAGATCTCCTCACTTCCCGTTATCTATATTTTATTTTGCTCTTTTACATTGGGTTTCTCACCGAAGAGAAGCCACGTGATATTTTAGCTTGTGTGTCTGATTACTTCATGTAGTATTGTATCCTCCTGGTGCACCATTTACCTAGGAGTGCCTCGAGTTTATCCTTCTTCACGGCAGAGTACTACTCCACGGTGTGTAAATACTACTTGATTAACTGGTGTGGGGCAGGGCCACACCCTCATTCTTTGGCCATATACATATCTAGTTGTTCCAGTTCACCACTCACTAAAGAGACCATTCTTTCCCCACTGAAAGTCTCAGAACACATATAAAAAACCAAGGGCCAGGGATTTAGCTCAGCGGTTCCACTGCCTGCCTTGCAAGTGCAAGGTCCCAAGTTTGATCCCTAGTACCAAAAAAAAAAAAAAAAAAAAAAAAAAAAAAAAAAAGAAAGAAAGAAAAATGTTAAGTTACCACATATCAAAAGTTGATTTCTATACTTTAAATTCTAGCCCATTGATCTGTGTGCCAACCATTTAGTGAAATACATTTTGTTTATTTGTGTGCTTGTTGATTTTGGAGACAAGGCGTTGCTATGTTGCTCAGGCTGGCTGAGAGTTTCTCCTGCCTCAGCCTTCTGAGTAGCTGTACTACAGATGTACAACAAGGGGCCCAGGTGAAATCCATGTTAAAAATATCACCCTGACTGCTCTTTGGGGACTCAAGTTCAGGAATCAGGATGGACGAGGAGTCTGGAAGCTCAACTGGACTGCAGTGCTACTGGGCTTGCTTTAGGGTAGTGGACGTAGCAAAACAGGTCAGTGTCTGACTTTGGAAGTAGAGTTGATAGGATCTCCATGACCCGGCCTGGGGTTTCAGGAAATAGACCTGGGGATCTATCGGCTTAGGCCCACGGAGCTGGGTTGGCGGATGGCGCACCCTAAATGCCCAGAGTGGCGGCTGCAGGTAAGAAAGTTTGGGGAAGGGTTAGAAAGAAGAGTGGGTTTTGATCGGGTTACACCGAAATTCTTCGAGCTCCCCAGGAGGAATCACCAGCTGGGCAGCTGGGTTCTGACTCTAGACTGGAGATTCCCATCTACTTCAGCGGCTGGGGCACGAGGATCACAAGTTTGGGCCTAGCTGGGGCAATTTCATGAGGCCTTGTCTCAAAGTAAAATAAATACATAAATAAATAAACAAAAACAAATAAATGAAAAGTGTTGTGGGCGGAGTTCGATGGTACAGTGCCCCCCCCAGTCCCCAGAACTAAACAAAGAGGAAGGCTTGGGACACAGTCCCAGACACAGGGATTTGTCAGACAGAGCAGATGGCAGCCCCTCACGATGAGGTCTTTATTTCCCATTTCTCCACTGACTGGTTCGGTCCAGACCACTACATTTCTTACTCAAACACAGCTGCTCGCCTCTCCTGATCAGAAATGCTCCTCAAAATCCAACCCCTGAGCAGACACTGAGGCTCTGCCCTTTTCCGGGAGTGTAGGGAAGCCCTGCTCCTCTCAAGGCCCAAAGCACCCCTGGGGGCCTGGCATGGTGGCACACACCTGTCATCCCAGCACTGGGGAGGCTGAGGCAGGAGGATCGCTGTGAAGTTTGAGGGCAACCTGGGCTTCAGAGTGAGACCCTGTATCAAATTAACCGCGTGCGCGTGCGCGCGCGCGCGCGCACACACACACACACACACACACAGTTATTTTCCTTAAACATATTTTTGGTTGAGGGAACCTAACCTAATGCTTGAAACGAAATTTCTTCCTTGGTGGACAGCTGAGCTCAGCGGTCCCCAGGATTATGAAGGGAGAGCAGGTCCATCCAGTGAGAGCGGCCAGGAGAGGACTTGCGGATGTCCGGTCCAGGGCCGCAGTCTGCTCCTCCTCCCCGGCGGCTAAGCCAGCAGGCTGCGCTGGGGAGTTTCTAGTCCCGCGGCCTTGGTGCCCGGGGCGTCCTATTCAGGACCCCTTCCCCCCATGGATACCAACATCCAGGCATGCTCCGCTCCCTTCCGTAAAGTGGTGTGACATTTGCAGATTATTTTCGAGAGCGGTCTCCCTACGTAGCCCAGGCTGGCCTCGAACTCGCCGATGACAGTCCAGCGCCACCCGCCACCCAGCCACACCATAATCTCGAAAGCAGGAGCCAGGTCGGCATCTAGCTTATTGGCCTAACTCTAATAAATGTCTTATTTGTTAGATTCACAGCACAAACACACAGAGAAAGGGTCCTCGTCTCGGCCATTGTCACCTGAGCCCGGGAGGGGCGCCGAGTCCTCTTCACTATTTAGCCATGACCCAGGTCACTGAGCAGTAGGGCAGGCGCCATAGCCCCTCCCGGCCATCTGTGCGCCCGCCCCCTCCGCGGCGGCCAGCCAACCGTCGCTGTGCTCTGCTCATGGACACGCCCCGAAGCTACTCTGAGCCAATCAGCGCCCTGCACCGCCCCCGAGAACGCCCCCAGAAGACCCTCCCTCCATGGCCCAGGACTGTTGTTTAGGGGGGTTATCAAGGCGATGGCGCTGCCCGTCTAGTCCTTCCAACACTCCCCAGCCCCTGGTCCCCCTGGGTTCCCCATTGCTCCCTCAGCCTCCTTAGGCCATGTCACTAGGGCTCCCTGATCCTCCTCCGGCTCAGGGTGGGGTTCAGACACCCCCACTTGCTTGTCTATTCTCTCAATCCAGTGTCCTGGGGCTAGAAGATGCCGGTATAGGGCTATGATGGATCATAACAGTGATCTCAGCAAGCAGGAGGCTGAGGCAGGAGGATCCCTGGGAGTTCAAGGTCAGCCTGAATTACATAGGAAGACTGTCAAATAAGGGGTGGTGGGTGGGCTGGGAGATGTAGCTCAGTGGGAAGGCCCTGGATTCAAACCTCAATGGTACCAAAAAGAAGCCAGCAAGCTAGCACAACGTTTTCCAGTGAATAAAGGACGTTGGCCGATAGTCTGCCCCGAAGTGTACCCCAAGCTAGAGCGACTCTCTGGCCTTTAGAACCAGTGGCTGGGATATCAAACGTGCTGGATCAGAGGGAGTGGAGGGACCCCACGGGGCGCAGGGGACTGGAAACCGACGCTGGCCCTGCTCAAGAACAAGGAAAGGTAACGCAAGGACCTGAGTTTGATCCCCAGTACAGAAAAACAAAAAAACAAAAAAACAGGGAAAGCTCATTGATGAAGGAGCCAGGATACCTGGCCGCAGTAACAGGAATAGGGTAAGTGGGGGCCGCAGGCAGCAGTGCCCCCACATAGCGGGGAGCAGTTTTCAGAGAACCTGGGGTCACTCAAGGCTTTGGGGACCAGCAGAGACAAAAGCCAGATGCCACCCGGCAGAGGAGAACCAGATGGAAAAACGAATTGGACAAGACCCTAGGGAGAAGCCAGGACTGGTGGTGCACTGGGGAGGCCGAGGCAGGACGGCCCAGAAGCCTGGATTCTAGCGAGACCCTGTCTTGAAAAACCAAACCAAAACCTCAAAGGAAAACCCAGAAAACCTGCAGGGCGCTGATGTCAGAGCACTCAGAGCAGGGGGACACAGGGCTGGCTTTTGGAGCCCACAGGAACGGGTTGGCTGCTGAAGTACCCAGGATGTTGTGTTCATCCACCGGGCCTCAATCCCACAGAGGCATCGTTGCAGGCATGCGCCTGGGCAGGTGTGGTCTGGGGTGGAGCACTTCCCACGCTCTGCTCACGCAGTCTCCCTTCTCACAGATGCGTGGGGATTTTGCCAATGGGAAACCCAGAGCCATTAATATGGATGACCTAACCTTTGTTTTGTTTGGGGACAGAGCCTCACTGCCTAGGTCAGGCTGGCCTTGAACTCACTGTGTGGTTCAGGCTGGCCTTGATTTCACTGCGATCCTCCTGCCTCAGCCTCCTGAGGGCAGGGGACCACAGACATGTGCCACCCTGCTGGCCAGAAACGGATGCTTTAATAGTTTAAGAATTTGTCCACCAGTGCCGGGATTGAATTCTCAAACGCTGCACCTGCTACCCACACCTGCCTACCTGTGACTCCAAGTGTGAAGTAGGTGGTGGGGTTGGTGGTGACACAGAGACAGCCAGATGCAGGACGTTTAACAACCTGGATGGCGCATGCCTGCCATGCCAGCATGCAGGAGGCTGAGGCAGGAGGATCACTGAATTCAAAGCCAGACAGGGCAACACAGTGAGTCCAAGGCCAGCCTGGACTGTTACAGCAAGACCCTACTTCAAAGAACCAAATAAATACAATCCGGATTCAGAAAAAAAAGGACACACAGAGGCAAGAGGTATCGAGACTGGGGTTCACTCCAGGTTCCAAAGTGGGGGACCTCAGAGGTGGAAGAAAAGAGACGCTGTGGCGGTGACAGCCAGCTGGAGCCGGCGGAGGATCAAGGACAGAGGCCCTGCTAAGGCTTCCTGCTGAGCTGGGCCTCACAGTGCCAGGAACTCTGAGTTGGTGACAAACACATGCTTTTTGGGAGACCTTGGAGTGGAAGCCTTTACTTCTTGTGTTCCGCCTTCCCTACGCCTGCTCACAGTCGGTGCCCCTCAGTGCATCTGCTAGAGCTTGCTTCAGGGCACAGCTCTCCCATGGCCCACCTTGTTTTCGGTCGCACAGGGAGACGAAGCAGGAGACGTAGCCCAGGCTGGCCTTGAACTTACTTCGATCCTCCTGCCTCAGCCTCCTGAGTGCCGGATGACAGGTGTGCGCCACCAGGCCCCAACAGACCTCAGGTCTTCTACCCACAGCATTCACAGCACCAAGTAGGAGGTACTCGTCCACAGCAGTTACCAGGATGTGCAGTAAAAAAAAAAACCCCAAACCGAGTATTCTTTAAAAGACCCGAAAACCTGAGATGACCAAGAGAGCCAGATTTCTGTGCCCTGCCGACTCTCCCAGGTGCTCAGGAGGTCATCCGAGTCCCGGAGTCTGGGAGGCGGCCAGGTGCGGTCCATCTTGCAGTCTGTCGCCGCTGAGTGCAGCCTGGTGTCCCTCTCGGGCGGAAGGCAGCTACAGGGTGGTGGAATCCATGAGCGTGTGGCCGTTCTCCAGAAGCTCGAGGCGCGCGCCGGCCCTGCTGTGGGCCGAGGCCGGGGCCTGCGGAGGCTCCCGGGCTGAGCGGCGCAGGCACAGGCAGCACAGCAGGCGGCGGAAAGTGCGGCGCATCTCCGCGTCCCGGCAGGAGTACACGGCCGCGTTGACCAGGGAGTTGAACTCGGCCAACAGCAGGAAGTACTTCTCCACAGCGAGGACGTTGCAGGACCTGCAGTCCAGGCCGTCCAGGAGCAGCACCACCTGGCCCGGCGTCCAGCAGACCACGAAGGCCCCTGTGTGAGGGAGGCTGCGGTGAGCAGGAGCCGGGAGGCCCGGACGGTCATGGAGGCAGCACAGGGATACAGCTGTGGGCAGAACCGCTGGGAGGCACACCTTCCCTGACTGTTGCAAGGTGGCCAGGGCCCCGGGCTTCTCTATGGAGATTTTCTCAGCAGGGAAAAGCCGGCACTGTGGGGCAGGCCAGGGGTACCTGGGGGAAGGGGGCATCAGCCACAGCCCGGCCCTGTTCTGGGGAGGCAGGGTGTATCCTCATCCGGTTCCTTCTACATCCTGGAAGCCAGACAGGTCACGGTACTCCCTGCCGGAAACTCTTAGGAGCCTGGCAGGGTGGTACACACCTGTAATCCAGCTGCCAGGGAGGCCGAGGCAAGAGGATCACAAGTTTGAGGCCAGTGTGAGCAGCTTGGTGAGATCCTGTCTCAAATTAAAAAATAAAATAAAAAGGAAAAGAAAGAAAGAATGAAAAAAAAAAAAAAGCTGGGCACGGTTGCACACTCCCAACTACCTACGAGACCGGGACAGGATGACTGAAGATTTGAGGCCAACATGGGCAATTTAGTGAGATCCTGTCCCAAAGCTGAAAAACTGCATCTGTAATCTCAGCACTCTAGAAGGCTGAGGCAGGGGGATTGTAAATTCGAGCCTAGCCTGGCCTACTTAGAGATCCTGTGTCAAAGAAAGTAAGAAGGAAGTGGTGTTTAACAGCATCTGGAGGCTGAGGCAGGAAGTATTCTATGAGTTTGAGGTTATCCTGGGCTACATAGTGAATTCAAGACCAGCTCAAGCTACATAGTGAGGCCTTGTATCAAAAAACAACAAAAAAACCAAAACCAAAAATAGCCAGGGCGGTGGTACACGCCTGTCATATCCCAGCACTGGGTAGGCTGAGGCAGGAGGATTGCTGTGAGTTCGAAGCCAGCCTGGGCTAAGTGAGTTCAAAGCCAGCTTGGATACATAGTGAGACCCTGCCTACTAATAAATAAGTAAATAAAGAAGGACTAGAGATATAGCTCAGCTGACTCAGCAGCACTGCAGAGGACAAAAAAGGGGTGGGGCACTGGGAAGGTAGCTCACGGGCAAGGAAAGCTCTCCTGGGTTTAACCCCTAATACCAAAACATAAAACTGAAAAGGAAATTAAAATAATTTTAAAAGGCCGGGATGTAGCTCAGCTCAGTGTTAGAGCATCCCTGGGTGCAGTACTGTAAAACAAAACAAGACAGAATACGGAGCAGAGGACACTGGCCCTGTCCTCTCTGTCCGCCCCGCTCTAGGCCACCCCACAGGTGTGTCCTCCTGGAGATCTAGCCTGGCCGTGGGTGTCCACCTCTGCCCTGTGGGGAGGCTCACGCCCACCCTTCCCACCCGCTGTGCCAGTGAGCCCTCACCCTGCTGCTCACTGCTCCCAGGGCATCTGGAGGTCCCGGGCCCCCGCAGGTGAGGGTCCCACTCACCCAGGATGATGACCACGGTCTTGACCAGGCTGAGTGTGGTCTCTCGGTAGTGGGGGTGGCAGCTGACGTGCTCGGCCATGCGCTGCACCCGCCTCCTCACGTAGAAGAAAATGCGGGTGTAGACGGCGACCATGAGGAGGAAGACCAGCAGGCTAGACAGGGCCCACACGGCCAGGTAGGTGCGGCTCAGCAGGGGTGCCATGCGTGAGCAGCGGTCCAGGGCGCAGAGGCAGTGCCAGGAGTGGGCCGGCAGCAGCCCCAGGCCGAGGGCGGCCACCCACACGCCCAGGATGAGCATGACCACGCGGCCTCGGGGCAGTCCCCTTTTTTTTGAGATAAGATTTCACTAAGTTGCCCAAGCTGGCCTTGAACTTCTGGTCTTCCTGCCTTAGCCTCCCTAGTAGTGGCTGGAATTACAGATATGTACCATGCACAGCCCCTGCCGCAGGAACCAGACCTTGAGCGAGAGCCGGGCCGTGCGCGGGCCAGTGTGGAACATGAGGAAGAGGTACGCCACGCCGGCGAAGAGGTCGGCCGCGGCCAGGTTGCCAAGCAGGTAGTAGATGGGCTGGTGGAAGCGGCGGTTGGAGGCGATGGCTGTGATCACCAGCAGGTTGGTCAGGAGGACCAGCACGCTGACGGTCAGCCCCAGGGCCACCACCACCACATCCTTGCGCCGCCAGTGAGGGCTGAGCTCCTTGCCGCTGTTGTTGTAGAAGAAGCCGACGGTCTCATTGTAGTGGCACTGGCCCATGGTGACGGTCTGGGGACACAGGGAGAAAGAGACAGGTCAGTGCAGGTGGCCCGTTGAAGGACACAGGGCAGGAGGCACCTGGAGCAGACCATGGGGACAGGAAGAGTCCGGGCTGGAAACCCAGCCGGATCTGAGCAAGGTGGGGACGAGGGAGACCTAGAAAAAGCAAGTTCACGGGGCGTGGGTGTGGGGAGCAGCTGTTGTTATCTGCTAAGGAGACTAGAGAGAGCTCTCAAATCAATGGCTCCTTTTATTTTTTTCCCCTGGAGAACCCAAACAAAACGCGTCTACAGACCCACTCTCGCCCACACGCCTCCAATCGCTGGGCGCTGTATCTGGGGGATCGGGGGGACATGGCGGGCGGGAGGC